TTTAAAGGTATATTATATTAATAATATTGAATATTAAATTTATTTTTTATATGTATAATAATAATAATTATTATTTATTTAATTAAGGTCTTAAATTTTTATTCATTTTAAAATATTTTTTTTTTATTATATGGGGGAAGAAGGAAGGAGAGAGAGAATTGTGAGGATCACCACCTCATGTGTGATAATTTCATAATATTGCACTAGATCCACATAAATTCTATTTCAAATGAAAGTCTTCAAAAGTCTTTAAAAGTTTTAAAATGAAAGTTTATAATTTTACAAAAGATTTCCACTAATTCCACACAAATTTCTAAAAAATTTACGAAATCTACAAAAGTCATCACTTAAAAAAAGTCCATCAAAATTTTCAAAAATTTCAATTGAATACACCCCTTAAATCGAAGATCATCAACATACGCCTCTACCTATCTTATGTCATCAATTGAGGCTCAGCTCTTCATGGGATACGGCCAAATTGCTATATGTGTAGAATGATGTGGTAACATGGTCGTCTAGATTGCCATGTAGGATGTAGGGCCCTCATCATCTGCCACGCAGTTCTATTAGGTATGATTATTTATATGAGTAACATAAATTATAAATCAACGTAATAAAGATTTAAGTTACTATTCTTGATAAAATTAATGTTTAAGATAAAATGTAAAATCTCATCAAGAGGTAAAAAATTGCTTGTTACAAATGGTTTCACCTCTTCACCTTTTCAAGTTATATGTGTTCATCACAAAAAGATGACACATATATGTTTGAAATTAACAATATATATTTTCAAGAAGTCTCCCTTCGAGATTATATATTTTTAATCATGATGCAAAATTACAATTCTTATTACGACACCTTTGCAGAAGATTAGTAGAAAAATGAGAGTAATATAATTGAAAAGAGAAGAAAAAATCGAGGATATTTAGAAAATATGACTGATTTGCGTAGATATCATCAAAATTTCAATGTTTATTTGTGAAAAGAGATGCAGATTATGGGTTGATAGAGAATTGAAATGCAAATTTAACTGGATTTTTATAGCCATAAAATCAATTGGAAGTAGATGAGAACGAGGGGAATGATTGAGGAAATAATTCTTGTTACGCTCAATGTACTATTCCAAAATTACACAAATCATGATGACCATTCTTGTAAAAGTGAAAAATGATGCTTTTTCCGGCTTTAAAAATATTTTCTATTTTCGATGTTTTAACTTACATAAAGATTATGTTTAACTTAATCATTTAGTTAAACTAGTCGAGTCTTACTTAAGTGAAGTTGCATTTCTTATTTAATTGGACTCGGTGAATTTTTGGATAAGATTAAAAATTTATGTATTGACAAGTTTACTTAAAAGTAATTAAATTTTTATTGATCAAAGAGCATATTACTTAAATATGTTTGAAAAATAAATAAATAAATAATTTTTGATTTAGGTAAGTTTTGATTTAGATAAGTTCTAATAAAACAAATTGTAAAAATTGAACGAAGTGTCAGGATGGCCGAGTGGTCTAAGGCGCCAGACTCAAGTTCTGGTCCTCGTGAGAGGGCGTGGGTTCAAATCCCACTTTTGACATGACACTCTTTCTTATATAAAAAGAATTTTCTGCTCTCTCTTTTACTCCCCTCACTTTCCTCATAAAAAAAATGGGAAGTTCTCATACCTAGAGCGTGTTTGGTTGTGATTTTCAAAATCAATTCTCAAATCAATTCTCATTTTCAACCACACATTCTTCAATAAAATAATACTTTCCATCACATCAATAATTTTTTCTTCTTTTTCAACCACACATTTCCCATCATATCACTATTCAAAAATCAATTCTTCCCCCAAAATCCCTACCAAACACACACCTAATCTCCAAACGTTTGTCTCACTTGGGCATCACTTATTTTTTCCTCGCATCTAGGTCCCAAACTATCTTTTCCGAATTAATTTGACAGAATCCATACTTGTAGAATGATTGATCTTTTCCAATATGTGTAAAGATAAATAAACTGTAATCATTCAACTTTTATCAAATAATTAGTCTATTATTTAGTGTGAGTCAACCTCTGCGCTCAACAATTAGAAAAAATATAAAACGAAGGAAAAAGAGAAGAGGACAGCATCGACATGCATGGCTATAGATACTAACACATGTTGATGTCGTGTAAAGGAGAATCATCTACTTTCTTATGCGTATTCAAATCATTTCTTGCTTCAAAAAGGTAGCTGAAACTTGTTAGTAGTTGACAAACAAGACATCGTGCACACATGCGTAGCAACTAGAAGTTACGATCCCTGACTTTGGGCATGAAGCTAAACCGTTCTATGTGAAGGTAAGTGAAGTGCCGGAGGTGCCTTTGGCTATAATGAGGAAGTAGATGATGCAATGGATTTTTCGTATTTGGAGTTTGGTCACTAGTTTACATGTTCAGCATCTACCATTTAATATGGAAGTGACAATGAGTAACAAAGATTCTATACTCGATGTATGGTGACTAATGATGACTAGATAGTCGTCCGGATGAGGTTTGTCGCTTGAGGTTGGTGATGGATGCTAAGGTTAGTAGAAGGATGGCAACCACAATGTTATGAAGAGTGTACATCTAACATTATTCTTTTTTTAAAGGCTAATTGAGAATATGAAATGCAAGTAAAACAAGAATTGTTGGGTGCATGGTGAGGTCAAATGCAGGACCTTCTTATCTACCTATAGAGCACAAAAGTTTGACTAACTCGTTAACTAGAGGAGCTTGTTGATGAGATAGATTTTCATTTGACACACGAATTTGAGTTACGACACCACAACCATTGATGAGGATTCAAAATGCAAAGGCGAATGAAGACCATGAACAGCAGGGGCGGAGGCAGGGGGACAAAAAAAAAATTTACTTCAAATTTTAATGGGCTTTGGAGCAGGAGCCCAGGATTCCCCCCAACTTCTATGTGCTCCTTTACACGACCAAGTAACAATTTTCACCATGAGAAGTGGCGGACCCAGCATTAAAGCTTAGCCCGGGTGAACGTTGATCGGTCAACGTCGACAATTAGCGATCGTAAGAACAAGATCGTTTATTAATATTTAATTAAATAATATTAAAAATTAATCTA